TATATATATAACTGCCAGGAGCATACCATGCAGTGTTGCCACTTTCCGCGCATCATCCGGGTTGTTGTAACAGATTTTTCTTGATGATTAAGCTGGGCCTGAAGAGAATGTTCAAATTTCTGTGAAAATACTGGATGAGGTTGCATGACTTAGTGCATGAATAGACTATGTTTTTAGCTTTTCGAAAATGGGTGGTAGTGGTGCAATGGTTCAGATGTTATCACCGCTGTGCTTTGAACCCTGAGGTCTGAGGTTCGAGTCCTGCCACCACCATCGAACTTTTCTGTCACCCGGTTTTAAACCACGCCTGACATAGCGTAGTGCGCAACTCCGTGTCCCAGGGCTCAGATTGCCGGTTACCATCAATAAACAGCAGATCTTCTTGACTATGGGGTTCTACTCCGCCTGTTGTCCAACACACATCGGTGTGTAGTAAAAAAATCAGAAAAAATCGATAATCTTGCAATTCAATGCGCTGGCTAATGTTGTAGGTTTCCGAAGCGCTCATTACTAACACACTTCGCCTCATCTTGAAATGGCTTGACTGGTTGTTCTACCGAACTCGTGCAATTTGGAGTAGACAACGGGGTCTGCCATTACTCCCCACCCGTATCGGCAGTACACAGCAGCAATCGCCGGATGTCGCAACAGTCCCTAAGGTTGACAGATGCCAATCGGATCTTCTGAGTGTGTGTGCATATCAAAACTTTATCTGATATTCATCTATCAGGACGGATATGGCTGCTGGTCCTATCGCTTCCCCAGTTAGAGTGAGGTTGGGAGCTGGATCAACTCAGTACTCCAAACAGCATTTTACACTTTGAAGGTATAAAATGCATGCAGAGCATAGTGTTATATTAACACTCAAGGAATGCATAAAAAGATCACCTGAATCTTCAATCATCAGTAGAACGTCATCTGTCTGCCACGGGATAGTTAAATCTGTACCGCCTTGAACACCGAATTAAAAAGTAAATCAATCGAAATCCGACCACTTCCTTCAAAACAGCTCACCTGAGACTCGAGGGTATGCACCACTTGCTCATGTTCGGCTAAATCTTTGCGTAACGCATTAGTCTGTGTTTTCCACGAGACAATTTCCTGATCTTTCGTTGAACACAGATGTTGTAAGTCAGTCAGTTGGCTGTCTAGCTGTGCAATGCGCGCAGTCTTCTCGTCCAACTCCAAGGTAAGTTTTCTGTGCGTAAGGGTGGAAGAGAACGGGTAACCAACATTTGGCATTTCGATAGGGAAGGAGTAATGTAGAACAAGAAAGAAGACCAAAAACGTTTTGGAACATACTTATCACAGTTAAATAATCAAGATTTCTCAATCTCAAAACTGCACCGTACTAGAAAAAAAAATGTTAACAATTACTTGTATCGTTTGGCGGATTTCAATTTTGTTTGAATGTGAAAAGTGTAGTAGCCTCGGTAGGATGAACTTCAATGGCAGGGTTATCCAACCGCGGTGGATTCAGTATACCTATGTAAGTTGGATGAGTAAACAAAATGTGGAAAGATCAGTGCTATCGGTGTAGCTTCGCAGCTCAGTGGGAAGAATGTGCGTTTTGCAAGAGCGCGGGAGGCGTCCATGTATAGGTTTGAATCTCACCGAGGCTACTGAAGATTTTACAATTCAAAAAGAACGATCCCATTTGAACTGGCTCCTTGATTGCACGGCTGAATAAGATCACGGTACAGACTGGAGGAACAACAGAATCATGTCTGATAGCTTTGTACCTATCGGGAAGAATGATCGAAGTCGGAGATGTATCAACAACTAGGATAGAGAAAACGGGTGGTTATGGGTTGCAAGTGGGACTGACGGAAGAGAGGAAGTTAACAAGGAGAAAAGAAGGGATATGGCAGCCCTTTGATTGGCCGCTTCTCCCTTCCTGAAAATTGTCTCATTCAATGTATTCAATAAAAGGAAGTAAAAATGAAAAAGAAAAGAAATGTATGTCCCATGAACAAAAATCAAAGTTGTAGCGGAGAGATTGAGAGAGAGAGAGAGAGGGCGGGGAGGGAGGGAGAAAGCGAGAGAAGCGACTGTCAGACGGTAGAATGCATTTTTTCACTAATCGAGTTCGGATAGGATTTTGAATTTTTTGAGTACATTTAAGGCTTTAGGTTTGAAATTGAAAAACAAAGAAATGCATTCACATCACCAACTATACCGATTCAAACCGGAAACAACCTGATTATTCGGAACCCTAACCAAGAATCCGGTATGCCTCGACAGAAGATAGAAAGTATTCCCAACCCTTTGCCTTGTCTTAAAACAGATCACGGAATGACAGACATTCATGCATTCGCAGGAGGCGTCTCAGACGCCTTGGACAATGCAGTGTAATGATCACGCTTAACGAAATACTATCTATTCCTAAAACATGTAATTTGATCTCAACGTCACTCACACGATGCGTCCCCCAAATGCAAGCTATTATGCGTAAACAACGGTTGCCGAGGCGATAGAGTCAAATTTCTTCAGAACCGTAAAACACTTATCCTTGGATCGTACATGAGTCCTTTCATTGGAAGAGATATATTGCAGATTGTCAAATCCCAAGCTTAGTTTAATTAGTCATTGAGAGATCTGATGAACACCTCCGATAGCTGTTATGCAACTCATGAGGTAGATAAAGCTTTCAACAACTTCCAGAGTGTCATCAACCAACAAAAGTGCAGGCACATGTTGCTGCCAGTCCTCAGGCAGCACCTTACGCTTTAAAAGTACAAAGCACACATCATATACAGTAGCTTCAACTGTCAAGCGATTCAGCGTCTTGCGTAGACAGTGTATAGTCACTGAACAAAGCCATATCATCGGCATACTCTAAACCTATGACTATATCTGTCCGACGGAGATGAAAGTCGTTATGAGGCCCAGAGACACGGTCATCTTTGTATTCGGTTTACATCGGTGTTCCAGTAACTGACGGTGGATGAGTGAATCCTTGCAACCAGTAGTGTAGAAACCAGAGTGAAGAAAATCCCTCTCCTCGGTTCGAGGCGTGACCACTGTTGTTCCCCCTCCCAATTACCCCTTTTTGACCCTGTGTGAACACGTTCTCTTTAGTCACTCCTGATTTGACCTTGATCACAGCTTGATCCCCCGTGTTAGTCATTGTCTATGGTTGCTTGATATCGGATTCTCATGTCCAATGACCTTCTGTGTCTACCTATCGATCCCACCCGTGTCATTGTCTTGTGCACTAACATGGCCTTGGCGTATCATTGCCCCGATCCATAACCGCCCCAGCCCCTCGCTATATGCCCCGTCATTGGCCCTGTGGCATTATTCGTTGTCTTGCTCTTAGCGAGCGCGTATCTGACTTCGGACACTGGCTGTTCACGTTTGGTGAGCAGAATTTCTCCCTTTGGCAAACAGATCATTGTCGATCTGTTTGAATTTATCTTGGCTGTTCACGTTAAGTGAACAGAATCCCTTGCTCGACCTAACAGGTATTTATGTTCCCTCTTTGTATATTTATTTCCTCGTCTTTATATCAGGTCTCTACCCATTTGTTTGAACTCACCCTTTTGGCTGTATAGCGACGGAGTCGCATTGTTGAGGTATGTTGTTCTTTGACTCGCCTAATGAAATAAACAGTACCGTACGCATTGCGGATCAATATCGTTCTGACTTCGGGGTTCGCATTTCGCTACGCGTTGCTCAACGGTCTCATTGACGCTATACAGAACGACCGTGGAATAGTCGAATACATTCGGGCTACGGTCGAACCAGAACAAGTCGTTTTGGAATTTACAGTACTCAACAAGACTCCAGGCTTCTGAGGAGTGTTCAACTGGAAATCCACAATGCCAGTCACACGGAGTGGAAAATCGACTTCGGAAACTGGTGCTGCCGGGAAAGTTCTCGCAAACAATCATCCCCGGCAAGTCCCTCTTTTTGGTTGTTCTGTTCATGGCTCTCGCGTTAGTGGGGTTAGTCGGCACAGTTGTCGTCTAAGTGATAATCCTCAATTGTTGGAGTTGAAAGAAAGACATTTAAAAGAGCGGCAGGAACAGGAGCTGAGACACCTGCAGCAAAGCTTAGGCTCATGTAGAATAACCGACTCTGCGGGTTCTCGGCATTCGTCTGCCAATTCTTCACACCAGCTTAAGACACCTCGTTGCGGGCACAATGACCCGTTGAAAGGAGACCTGTTAGATGATCCTGAGGTTACCCGCAGGTTTGCACTACCCACGGAACATCGGAAGGAAAGCCTGTTACAGCATATGGAGACAACGGTTTCACTTGATCACATGCTGCCGAAAGTAGAGCTGTTTCCATTCGACGGGCGCCCGGAAGTATATTGGAAATTCATTCGGCAGTTTCACATTTACGTAGCTTCCAAAACAGACGATGGACAAAAACTGTTGTATCTATTGCATTATTGCAGAGGTGAGGC